CTTAAGGACATAATATTAAATACTAACTTCGGTTCAGGTTCTTTATTTATTATTTATTAATTTATTGCTTTATTTTGCATATTTAATTAAATATATAATTACATATTTAATTAATCATTTCTTAGTATATTGTTAATTATCTCATAACATATTACTATAAGGGTTGTTATATCTTAAATATCACATGAAACATATATTTTTCGAACACATGACTCATTGGCCTAGTTAGTATAGCGCACGGCTTTCTAAATGGATATATATGTATTCAAGTTCCCTCCTCCTAATTTGTCAAGAAAATATATATATATATATATATATATATATATATATATATATATATATATATATATGGGGGCCACCATGAGGACCTTTTAAAAGAGTATCACGAATCTTTGACATTTAGAAATTTTACACAGGTGGTGAAGACCGATTTGGTATACTTGCTTTGGTCTCATTGCCTTGAAATGGCAGTGAGAAAGTGGTCAGACATAATGAGATTCCTTGTAATGTCTGACCATAGGAAATTGGTCAAGTCTAATATGGCTCCGAATGTCTCATGATAAGTAAAACAAATGAAAGTTGGATGAAGTAGACTTGTTCAATTACAAAATCAAGTCTTATTTCCTAAAAGAAACCAACAAAGCTATTTGGAACTATTTCTCTGGGTTTTGTTTGGTCAGATGAATCAACTAGAAAAAAAATAAAAATAAAAAAAATAAAAAAGAAGATTTTTTAAAAATTTTTAGAGTTTAGATAAAAGGAAAGAGAAATGAATAAAAAAATTTAGTTTTTCGCACTTACTTATTTTCCCCCAAAACTTTTACCGTACAAAACATACAAAAACAATATTTTCACGTTAACAAGAAAATTATCTAAGTCTTATTTTCCAAGCATGATCTTAATATTTTCACGACTTATTTTCAATGTAAGAAACTATTATAAGAATAACAAGTCTGATTTTCCAAGTATGAACTTAATGGAAAGAAAAGCAAGCAACAATGTTATTTGGAACTATTTCTCTATGGAATGAATGAATTTTGATTTCTATGAGTTTTGATCTCTATGATGCCGACAAATTCATGTATGAGTTTCATTCATTGCATTAAAGGAACAAAAATATCTTCTGCTATCTACATCACTTTGAAAAATTGATTAAAGAATCATTTTTCAAATAAAAGTATGGTTTTTTACAAGACATAGTGCTGGTTTGATTAGATCACAATCAGTTAAGTTGATTTAGTGATTTAATTGAGCAGTTACCAATTTAAAGAGTAAGAAGGTAGGGAGATATTTGATACGAAAAATTATTAGATGGTGTTCTTGCTTAATTAAAATTATTGTTCAATTTCTTTTGTAATATTTTATTACGCTCTAGTGGATCACTTTTCTTAATCAGAAATATTTTTTATTGAATTAGACCACTAAGTATTAATGGTGGAGGACCATCTAATACTTTCTCAATCAAACATGGCAACTACTCATTGAAATTACTTTTACTATTTTGCTATACATAAGGGACAAATTATTAGATAGTCATTGATCATTCTATACTTGATGGGCTAATTCAATGAAAATTAATGTTGAGATTTCTTTATAATATATTAGTACATTCGTGTAGGACTATTTTTTCAATCAAAGAATTTGGATTGAATTGATCTACCAAGTGTAAATGGTTTAGGACCATCTAATAATTTCTTCAATTAACAATCATTTTTTTCACTAATTCAGTCACTCGTATCTCACAAGAACTCTTAGTTGGTGATAAATAAAAACATGTCTCTTTTCTTTCAAAATGCTCGTATCAATAACGGACACATCAATTGGTATCAATTGGGGGCTTTTAACCCTATTGACTTCTTTGAAGTGTTGAGGCTTTAAATATAAAATGTGTCTTGCATTTATACAAGAGGTTCCTTTCGGTCTTTATAGTTGAATTGTGATTGTAGTGTGGCTTACCCATTTTCTGTGTGGAAGTAGTATAAGCACTAAATGTGGTTAGTTCACTTTATACTTCTGTTTGTGCAATCAATGTTTCTATTCTTTAATTGAATCCACTTTTGTACTATATGATTGGATTAAGACCAATTGTGTCATTAGGGAGTTTGGTTATTGACATTGTTGCACTTAAATTTTGACCCTTTTATATTGATCTTTATTTATTTATTTTTTTTAAAAAAAATTAAGATCAGTATATTAGAACAAAATATGCCAAAATTAGGATTGATTTGACAAAATGAAATTAACATAAGATAGGAGGGTTAATAGAAATTTCAGAGGTCAGACAATTAACGTCAAGTTTATTTCGTTAACGTCTATGTTTTACATGAGTAAAAAGATGGAGGCTTCACCATAATAGGAAAAATGTGTTAGCCATTCATTCACTTTGAAACGTAGTTGGAATACCACTGGATTACAACCATCATTATTGCTTATCACATTTTACCTAACCTAATACACGTGATAAAACAATGCTCAGTGAATGAGGGTAAGGATGTCATTTCAATTTTAATCAAGAAATATCTCGCGCTTCCCTCGTCCTTTTAGCCAAGTTTTCAACGATAGTAAATTGGTATAATCAAGAGGAATGCCTCATCGGTCAAACTATCCCTCTACTCTTTTTCTTTTCCCTTCTCTTTACCAAAGAACGGAACCACGGCAACATTATTAGAGCCGCAAATGAATTAAGTGGAGCCCAACCAAAGACTCTCTAGGCTAGCTTTGGGAGACTTTAAGCTCGTGGCAAGCTTATAAGTTTTGAGCTCATGATCTCGATATGCATATATATATATATATATATATATATTGCATCGATTTTTTTTATTTTCTTTTTCCAACTTCAATTAACCGTGCCCAACAAAGGGTCTTTGTCAGTTATGTATAAAAATAAACTCAGTCTCATAAGATGTTTATCTCTATAATTGTCACATTGGTAAGTAGAGGTGCAATTTGAATTGGGCAACTCGAACCCAATCTAAATTCGTTCAATTTTTTGTGAGTTTAGATAATTATTTTTACAAATAGGGTTAGGTCTAGATTGAAAATTTTCAACTCGAATTTAATTAAGGTTAGACTTGGATTGAGATATTAGCAATCCGAGCAAACCCAAACCCGAATTCTAATATTATTTTCATATATATTTTTAATTTTAAATACATTATATATAATATTTAAACTATAATTACCTTTTTTTTCTTTACAACTTCATTTGTTAAATCTTAACTTATTGTATCTTAACATTTAAGACAATTAATTTTTTAAGAATTTAATTATAATTTATTCAAAATTTATAAAATGTCTTTAAACATTTTTTTTTTTTTAAGAGTAATTTAATTTAAAACTAATTCAAGATCATATTAAATTTTTTGTATGAAGATTAGTTATATGAATAACTCGAATTCACCCTAATTTTTAATATGAAATCAAAGCCCATGTTGCAAGCCTAAATTTTAAAGTAGAAAAATGGATTAAGCTCGAGTTGAGTAGTTAGGGTTGAAAATATGGTTGGATTGGACTTAAGTTTAGCATTTCATATGGTAAGTTGGGCTCAAATTATAACTCAAATCCATTCAACTCGTTCGAGTTGCAGCCCTGTTGGTAAGTAACAAAGGCCCATTGACATTTATATCAAATTCAATATTGTTTTTGGTTTTATTATATTTATAGCTGTTTTATATAATTATTATAGTTTATTAATTAATTATATTTATAGCTATTTTATTATAACTCAAACCCACCCAATTCCGAGTTGCAGCCCCATTGGTAAGTAACAAAGGCCCATTGACATTTATATCAAATTCAATATTGTTTTTGGTTTTATTATAATTATAGCCGTTTTATATATTTATTATAGTTTATTAATTAATACCACTATGAACCAACTACTCATAAACAAATCAATTAATTTACAATCTTACCAACCCTCCCCTGTTGTTCCCTTTTCTTTCTCTTCAACTTCTTTCCCGCTACCATACAGTGCCGAGGTGGGGACTGGGGATGCTTGCTCACAAATACAAGTATCAATTACTAGTATTTTATATGCAAATGTAGTACATCTAAGTCTCTAAAAAACAATTATATAACTCATAATATTATTATATTAATTATTAAGTAATACTAGAATCAAGTCAAATTTAAACTGTATTTTAAAATAATTTTCATTTATGCTCTATTTTGGTTAGAAGAAATAACAAGAAAAATAAATAAAAAATTTCTAAATACTTTATGTTGTTCAATCATTTCATTATTTATTATGCAATTTAAAGTGGGAATGTCCATTTCCTTGAAAAATTTATTAAAAATTTATTCTACAACTATACCTATAGAATAATCATTCTATTCCCGAGTAATTTTTTTAAAAAAATCGAATTATCAAAAAAATCCTCATGTTTCAAGTTCAAAAATCGCCACAACTACCACTACCACGATACTACCACCTTCCACCACAACTACCGTCACCTTACGACCACCTACATTGCCTTCCACTACTACCATCACTGCCATCGCCGCCTTTATTGTCGCCTTCAACCACACCACCGACTTCCACCCCCTTCCACCACTACCACCTTCGACCACATCACCTCCATTGTCTTCCACCACTATCACCGCTACCGCCACCTTTCACCACCACCCCATCTTATTAAAATAATAAAAATATTATTTTTTAATAATTTTTTAAAATTATTTTTCATGCTAGTCAAATACATAGTGAATTTTTTGTTCATTCACTTCACTTTTTTTAATTTAAATTTCCACCGTTAAAACTATAAATAGTAACTTTTTTTATAAATTTTTAATATTTATCCAATACACTACAAAAATTTTATTAATTTATTTTCCTTTCACTCACTCCACTTTCTTTTAATTTCCCTTTCCATTATAAATTTTCAGACCAGATTAATAATTACCAACCGATTCTACGTCTAAAAAATAAATAAATAAAACAACAAAATAAAGTAACTGCTAAAATATTAGTTATATGAGATTTATACGACAGAGTCAACTGTTCACATTCAGTATCAATCTTCCAGACCTCCGCGTATTCAAAAGTCCTTTCTCTCTCTCTCTCTCCTCTCCTCTCTCTCTCTCTCCTCTTTCTCTCTCTAGGTAATGCCCCTTTATCGTTAATTTGTATTAATTCAATGGATCAATGATCCATGCCCCTTTTTCTGTGCTTGCCCATTTCATATATATATGTAATTGGTAAATGGATACATGATGTTCTATATCTAATCTCTTCCCAATTTTATTGTGCTCTGTACCGCTAATTTTCCCTTTTTGAATCTGTACACTCTGTAATCAAACTGACTCTTTCTCATTTGGTTGTGATTTTGACTGCAGATTCGGTTTCGCATTACAATACTCTTTGGCAATCTGTATAATGGTATGTTCTTCATTCGTTACAGTTGTATATTGAACTAGTTAATTTGTGGAGTTTCATGATATTTGATTGTTTGCACATCAGACCTATTGTAGATAGAACAATTGGGTTGGGTTGACTTTGGGAAGTTTTGGAATTGTGTTCTTTAATTTAGAATAAAATGATTGGGAGGAAAAATCCTGGGCGTGCTTCGCCTATACTTTTGATTACGTTGGCATTTGGGTCTTTTTTTGCTACATATAATTTGGTAACAATGGTAATGCGGAACAAAGCTGCCGGTTCGAAAAATCCCGTTGGGGAGGGTTTGGACTGGTTTGATCCTGTTACTCAGATGCCAGAAGCGGTGAAGAGAGCTGGGAATCCGAATGTCCGATACCATGTTGCCCTAACGGCCACTGATGCGCCTTATAGCAAATGGCAATGCCGGATTATGTATTATTGGTACAAGAAGTCCAAAGATGTATCCGGTTCCGATATGGGGGGTTTCACCAGGGTTTTGCATTCAGGAAGTCCTGATAATTTGATGGAGGAGATACCCACTTTTGTGGTTGATCCCCTTCCCCAAGGGCTGGATCGGGTGAGAAATTTTTTTTTCCCCTGCTTTTCTTTTTTGGGATTGTCAGTACTTAACTATGTGCTCATTTTTTCAGTTTATTCTTGTAAGTTGTTATATTTTCAATTTGTTTGAAAGTGGATTGCACCCTTTTTCATGTGCATTTGTCGTTTGCATTTCTGTGGAGATAATTAATGGACTTGTATTTTTCTTAGATTGTATTTTATTTGCTGAAAAAAATTAGAGTATCTCTAATCTAAAATGATTAAGAAGACTAGAAGAGTAATGACATCTGTATGGGAAAAATTAGAAGAAAATAACAATATCTCTAATCTAAAATAAATTGAAAGGACTTGCTTGGACTCTTGGTTAGAATGAGAGTGCTAAAGAACCAAGGAAGTAGGAAGATTTTGTTATGCCTTGCATTTAAATATTGTAGAATTTGAACTTTTCCTTTGAGAATGGTGAAATTGTTACATGAGCCACTAATTCGTACAAAATCTCAAAAATCTTCTATATTTTGCACCATGTTTAATATATTTGTATGGTGGTAACTTATCCACTTGGCCCCAATCACACATAAGCACATTTTTTTTTTCCTTTAGTTGGTAAATTTTGGATTGTATGTTGGGTAACTGGTCTTTGAGTAGTCACTCACAGCTCTGTGTTTGTTATTTTTCAACAAGATTTAGAAATCTCTCACTTTTCCTTGCTTTTGTTCACATAATTATCCACTATGAAGGAAGTTGAACTCATCTTTTGCTAAAATTTATTTTTCAGTCAGGCTAATTATATGTTTCGTACTAATTATACTGTACCATCCACTGCTTATAGTGATAGCAGTACAAACACGAGACCTTAATTTTAGGTTATGTATCAATCTTGCTCTTGATAAGCCTTCAACATCAGCTATAGGATTTATGAGCTGAAACACAGCAGTCCTACCAAATAATGCATGATGAAGAAAGTGATATAGCACAGACATGTTGGAACTGTCATATGGATAAAAAGGAACATGTTCGTTACACTGTTAAAAAAATACACTAAAATATGTGCTCATGCGCACTCGGCACACTGCCATCTTTACCCACATTCTCCATACTGAAAAAAGTCATTATCAATGGCTGGTTGAGAAAAAGCTCCTCTGGTTACTTCCTCAGACCTTATGGTAGCTGCCACTGTCCGAGAAATGGTAATGGCTTGATACGGACGGTTTGAGATGCATCTGGTGTCAAATCAACTTCAACAAGTGGGGAGCCAAGCCTCTTTCTTTACTGGCAAGCCTCCTTCACCACACCCCCCCCAAACAAGAAAAAATATGTATATATATATATATATATATATATATATATATATATATATAATAATAATAATAATAATAATAATAATAATAAATTTAAATTTTTGTTCATCAATTTCTTATTGGTTCTGTCACATTATTGGTCGGCCCTGATACATTATCATGTCGATGATACATCTTGAGATTGGAATTCATAAAATCATGGAAAAAATAAAAGTCGGCTAAAATCATACGCCAGAACAACAAGTTAAGAAATTGTAACGTTTATCTTGTAGAAGATGTGAAGTGCACTACATGCGTTGGTGGGTTAACTTATTGGAGGATCGCATAAAAAATAAAAATTTAGACATAAGTTTTCAGTATTATCCAACAAATCATATATAAAATGGTATAAAAACGAAAGTCTATCTGTTTTTGAAAAGCATTCCTTTTGTTAAGTATATTTATCAAGTTTGCCAATTTTTAATGTTGATTTAGAATAGTGATAAGGAAACTGATTTCTGAATATCACAGAAAGTCCTATTATTTGCTGTGTTTGTTCACTTTCAGAAGTAATGTAATCCTACTATATCTAGAAAGAATGATTCAAGGCATTCCTGAGTTGTTTATCATAGTAATTATGAGGCATCAGTTAATATTTTAGACAACTCATCCAAGGCTTGCTTGTTGACTATTAATCTGAGCTGAACCATGCCAACACTGATATGTTACATATGTATTAGATGATATGATCTGTATCTGCCAAATACTATATCTAGATAGAATGATTCAAGGCATCCCTTAGATGTTTGAGGCATCAGTTAACATTTGAGACAACTTATCCAAGGCTTTCTTGTTGGCTATTAATCCGAGCTGAACAATGCTGACACATATGTTTATAAGTTCTATGATCTGCATCAGCCAATACTTTGAACCATTTTACATAAAAAGATATAAGCAAATAGAAGTAGATCAACATTTTATAGAGAGAAAATGAAAAATTAAAAGAATAATTGTAGCTGAAAAAAGTGTCTAATACTAGACAATTGCGTATTTGTGGTATCTATGTCTGAAACTTGCTCCTGTTCAGAATCCACAACAAACCAGAGCATGTGGAGTCATCTCCTTCTCTTTCTGTCAAGAAATGGTATGGCAAAGACTTATCAGGAAAAAAAAAAAATGGAAATGGTATGGCAAAGTGACTTATGTTTACACCAATTAATGGAAGATCCCAGTGCCAAATACAAATTAATTAATGAATAAAAAGATGCAACAGGCAACGAACAAAACAAACTATGAGATAAGTAAGCTGGATGGTGGCTCCAAACCAGCCTCATATAAGTTTATATTCACTGGAAAGTAGACTTTGGCACTCAAGAGATGGTTCAGACTGCATCTGGATTAGAAATTGGAATAGAGTGCATTCATCTTAGGGTGGGATTACTTGGTGCTTTCAGTAATTGTCTTCACTGCACTTGTTACTCACTGGAAGCCAACTATCCAAAAAGGTTGTCAGTTCTTATGCCTTGCATATATTTTTGGAACAGATAAGTGTAACATAAGGGTTGATACTCTTTTTGGTGTGACGTAGTTAATTAAAATTGATACTTTTTTGCTTATTTCTTTTATCATTAATTCCATTTTTGGTTGACTATTTACTGTATTTATTTCCATATGTTTTTCGAATTATTACAATCAAGAAATTTATTTTTTATTTTTTATTTTCAAAAAGTAAGAAATTTATGCATATGTAATTTACACTGCATTTTAATTGTGTCTAGGGTTACATTGTCTTAAATAGACCCTGGGCTTTTGTGCAATGGCTGGAAAAAGCAACAATTGAGGAAGAGTGAGTTGTTAGTTTTCCATGACTAGGTCTCATTTTTTTCTCTTCCTTTGTGAAATCTGAATTCTAGCACATTCTATGACCATGCAGATATATTCTAATGGCAGAACCTGATCACATATTTGCAAATCCTTTGCCAAACTTGGCACATGGAGACCATCCGGCAGGATTCCCATTTTTCTACATAAAACCTGAAGCAAACGCAAAAATTGTAAGGAAGTATTATCCTGAGGAAAAAGGACTTGTGTCTAATGTTGATCCAATTGGAAATTCTCCTGTAATTATCAAGAAGGTAGAGTATTTCTTCACTAGTCTAGTTCATGACTGTCAATCTGGTCTGATTGTGAATAATTTTCTGCACTTTTCACGTACATCCAATTCAATTTATCTGAAGCTCCTAAAATCCTTTATGTTTGTGAGAGTTGGAATGCAAAAGGCAGCTTCTTATTTTATTAATAGCAGTAATTGTTTTAGTCATAGACTCATAGTGGTGGAAGGTTTGTGGTTAACAATGTTGTTAGCAATTTAATTGTTGCAGTCTATCCTGGAGAAGATTGCACCTACGTGGATGAATGTTTCTTTGAGGATGAAAGATGACCCAGAGACTGATAAAGCTTTTGGATGGGTGCTAGAAATGTGAGTAGCAGAGCAGTTTAGAAGAATTTATAACTATGCATGTTCTATTCACTGGATAGTAACCGATTTTGGCTTGTTGATCTTTTGATTTTGCTTACATTTCTTTATTGATTAAGGTATGCATATGCTGTAGCATCAGCAATACATGGTGTACGACACATTCTTCGTAAAGATTTTATGCTACAGGTACACGATGGCTGTTGAAAATTTTCGATTCCATTGTTTCCTAAATAATTCAAAGATAATTTCACATGCATTTATGTAAATTTTCAGCCACCATGGGATTTGGAAATTGGAAAGAAGTTCATCATCCATTACACTTATGGATGTGATTACAATCTGAAGGTAAAAGTTACCGTGTTATTGTTAAAATCTACAACTATGATTAGTTATTTACTTTAACATTTCTTCTGTTGCTTGCCTTCTCTTATGAGTTTTGTCATTCCTAATCATTCAGGGAGAGCTGACGTATGGAAAAATTGGGGAATGGCGCTTCGACAAGAGATCATACCTTCGGGGTCCTCCACCAAAGAACCTCTCATTACCCCCTCCAGGAACTCCTGAAAGTGTGGTATGTCTAAGTTTATCATTTTGTGGCACATTTAGGAAACATGAAAGTTAAGTCCTTTGTTTAAAAACTATAGATAAAAGTGCATTCAGTGGGACCTAAGAATGAAACATTCAAATTTGTTTTCTGCACAAGGGAATAGAAATTGACTTCCTTGGATTGCCATGCTTCTCTGCTTGCGCTGAACAGTTCATGGATTTGAATAACTTTTACCTGGTTGACTAGGTCGAGTTTCATGAACAGTTATTAAAATTATTTATCTCATATTATTTTACTGCATGCTATGTTAGCAAGCCCAACTCAATACGTAATTTACCTTTATTTGAATTTGGTTTTCAATTTGCTCCTCCCATGTAGGCAGTCTGCACGGTGGCTATCTGACCTAGTTGGTTCAAGCTCTTTTTTTCCCCATGGAGCAGCCTTCTTTTTCATTTTGCTTATAAAACCGTATTGTTTATAAAAGAGCACAAAGTCAGATCTCAAAACTCTTCACATTTTGATTAAAAAAAAAAAATTTGTTTTAAATTTTCAGCAAATGATTTGTCCGTCTAAACGACTTTTGAGTTTGACCCATTCACACTATTGATCACATCCACCTTGATTTATTGCTCTTAAAACACATTTATGTTCTGTATTCTTTCTAGCTGGATGTAAATTGTATCTTGGACCTACCCAAACCATAAGTTGCCAGCTCCAGTTATGCAAGGGAAACGGCATTAATGTGAGAGTTCACTTGCAGCTGGTAATACTCTCTAGGGGCGGGGAAATTTTTTTTTTTTTTTTTTGTTGGGACCAACTTAAACTTTAATTGGGATTAACCATCATGCACAACCATGCGATAAACAATAAAGAGGAGAAGAAACAAGATAATCGCCTCTCTATGTAAAGGTAAGGCTGCGTACATCAGACCCACCCCAGACCCTGCAATGGCAGGAGTCTCGTTCACTGGGCTCGCCTTTTTTTAATCGAAGAAACGAGATAATCAGATTATTACGTGGAAAAACTGAACAAGGAAAACCATGGGTATATCTTCCCAAGCACATAAATCCAGTGTGAAGAAGAAAATATAAAATCTCTTTACAAGTTACTGACTCCTCCAAGAATCAGCCACTGTTGATATACTTCTGACTCCATACTGCTACTCTCACATCAATGCAATCACACCTCTATAATCCACTTCCCTTCACTAGTGATTTGTTGAACTATCTGAGCTAACACTTGTTCACAAAAAGTAGGAACTCTGTTTATAAAGTAAAGACGGGCTTGACCGTTGAAATACGAATTCAAATGATAAGCCAATGAAGCACCATGCTTTAGATCACGATCACACAGTTGTATATGGCGGACAAATTAAATCTCTCACTCCATTATCAAGAAGAACCTAGCTTTCAATCGTCTCTAATTGCCTTATCAACTTTTTGGAGGAAGTTCAGGGGGGTTTGTTGCCCAATTAGAAGTACAAGGGTAACAGGGGTAACTTGCCAAAATTGGCAGTTTAGGAGAGGTTTTCTTATTTTGCCTGACTAAAGATAAAATCCCAGTCCTTCATATTTCTTCAATGATAGTATACATAAGAAATAGCCTTATAAATTCAAGTCAATTCTTGGAACTTGGGTAACACTCTTCAACCACCATCGAAAAATAACACCAGAAGGAAAAGTGTACCTTTGAATTATTGATTTTTGTTGTGGCCGATCATGTCCAAGCTTGGGCTTTCTAGGTTTGTCCCTAGTTGGTCTCTGTTTTCAGTTGTATGTTGTAGTAACTTATTTCATGCATGCTTACATCTAAAAAGAGCATTGATGTCTTTAGTTAGCAATATCATAATGTGAGAGATAGAGTACAGATCATGGGTGTACGGCAATGAACATCATATATTTACATATGTATATGTGTGACTGTGTGTGCGTGTATGTGTTTATACTGTTCATCATGTTTACAGGTACGGCTGGTAACAATGGTGAATGAGGCAACTGCAAATATTCCCCGATGGGAAACAGAATAAGTAGTGGATGTTATCAGGAACTAAGCTGTGCATCACTATTTTGGAAATCTTCCGTTGTCTGTGATACAAGACTGAGGACCCTCATGTTGAAAAACTCTCAACATCAAACAGCCTCCAAGAGCAATGATGATACGTATATACAATCACGGAGAACAGAAGAACTATATAATCATAGAGAGAATTTCTTTGGTTCGTCGATATTTTGGCAATTAGAGATGTTAAAACCAAGAATACCATTAAATTCTTTTGTACAACTCTTGCTTTCCTAGTTGAAGTTCATTGTTGATCTAGTTTTGCTCGTGATTGATTTACAATTTCAGAATTTATTATCCAAAGTAGCCAGTTTCTGTAGTCTTTATATATTTTGAAGGTAAGAAATAATATCATAAATGAATAGAAGGTAAAAAAAATTGATAAATCACAAACTCTATAGGTTATAGAACTAAATTATTAAAAATCTATTTATTAAAAATTAGATATTATGCGCATACTCAACAATTTCAATGGAGAACGGTCATGAAACAAAAAAAATAAGAAATAATTAGAATTTGTTCTGGATCAATGAGACTAACATCAATATTTGTACGGATTGTAGACATCAATATTTGTACGGATTCTTTTGTTGGGCTATTAATATGTCATTTATGAAATTTATTGTTATGAGATAAAGTGAAGTCTACCAACCATATCAAAACTTTAAAAAAAACCTCTAAAAAAAAATAGTATAAAACTCTGCAAAGAAATTTTACACTTAAAATTGACAATGAACTCCCATCCTATTTATAAACACACGGCAGCAATCATTTATACGCAGGTGTATGATTTATACAGGTGTTGCTTATTCAAGGATCGGTTCTAAAATGCTCTAAAAGAATATGTATCTAAGTTATATAATAGAGAAATCTATAATATTCTGTACAATTAAAAGGACTCTAAAAATGCCTCGCCACATATTGGGTTAGAAGTCGGGTTCCCTTGATTTTAAAATATGTCATGGTGAGTCAAAGTTACATGTGAAAACAACACTTTTTCTAATGGCATTAATACTCTCAATAGCATGTAAGTTAATTAGAAAGGAAAATGCGGTCTATGTTTTGGCATGACACTTATTTATTGTACAATTCATGTCAGTGAATGAATATAAATTGAGTGTTAATATTACCTAATAACTTAAATTTTTGTGGCGGGTCGGTATCAAAACATGACACAATCCTTAATTTGATATTGGGCCAAATGCCCGACCTAAAATAATATAATTTCCTAGACCCGTCCCTACATCTGAGCCTTCTCCCCAAATAGGTAAAGTGTCCCTGCATCCGAGCTTTCTCCCCAAATAGATAAAGTGTCCCTGCATCCGAGCCTTCTCCCCAAATAAGTAAAGTGACCTGACCTGTCCCAAATTGGATTCGGAAGGAAAGAGAAAGATATATATATGCTTATATGAAATGAATATTAATATCACTCAATAACTTAAATTTTTGAGTCATAAAACACCCAACACCCTATCCATACGCACAATCAAGTGTCAAAAATCAAAATATGCAATTTTTGTGTACTTTTCGAAATTGAAGATCAAGGATTCAAATCTCATAGAAGCCGAGTGAGTGAGTTTCTTACCCCCAAAATAAAAAATTCATCAACAACTGCAGTATGTGTTACTTGTAATGTAATTTTTTTATTTTACTGATATATGAAGTGAATGTACTATTTTCTCATTCCCCTTTATAGATCTCTATCATACATTTCAGAGATAAAAAGATAAAATAGAGGTATATCCAACATAGGTATTTATTTTATTATTCAACCCAGAAAAGGCACACTATTGTGTATAACAGTCATTATACCTGCTAAAGCATAACCATGCATCCAAAAGTCGTTAATGCATACGCAATGACCATACATATCAGACTCTAAAATTTAACTAAATACACCAACTCCTCATACCCATTACCATCATACATAGCCATTCACCCCATGATAAACAAACTCAACCGTAGCGACCTTAACCAGACATTGAACACTGAAGCTTTCTGGCATAAAACCAATCCGGTAACATCATCTATTATCAATTTCCAGTTGATGATGTAATAGCTAGCAGAAAACGAGTCAGGCGGCATTACATAATTTCAGCTCCCAGCTGATGACGACGGTAACAGCGTTGAAGGAATTGGCCACATTATATCCGACAGCTATACTCTTATCATAATTTGATAGAATAGTGTGTACACCATCTTTGTTCCACCAAACTCAGGACAGAGATCCCAATACCAATTGGTGAATTTATTGACACATTCTAAATGCACAAGCCTGAGTAGCCAACGAAGTATTTTCTCACAAACCGCGCACAATATGATGTTTCACTATCTCTCCTCCTCCGGGCTGGAAAGCTCACGCTTCTACATAGAATATAAAATTAAACATCAGATAAAAAACATAAAAGTTGGTCCATATGAACTTGTGAAGTAAATATCAATGGAAGCAACACATTCAAACACATATGAAATTGTGCATACATGTGTGATAAGTACATGCATAAATAAGTACATCATGCAAGTACATACAAGATATTACACATAAAATCCTTTTTTTTTTTTACTATTACACGCCTATGTTACATGGACTCGGGTACGGGTGTCGGACACGAGTATGTATCCATGCATCGGACGTGTCAAATCTCCAAACAGAAAGACACACAGACATGGCTAAATATTCATTTTATTAATTATTTTATTTTATTTTCTAGAGTAAAGTGTTTTATCAAATACAATGTTCAATATAAACATTCAACTCATTTTAAAGTAATAATATTAATGTAATTGAATGATTGGATATGGTTTTTAAGTACATGTCTAACCAAAAGTGTCGGACACATATCCCATACCCATGTCCGAGGGATACGTGTCCGACACGGATACTTCACTACTTTTGAAGAGTCCATGTAACAGAGTTACACACACAATCCTTTTATCTTTTTACTATTATTTTGGCTTCACCCGCAATCCAGATCTGAACCCAACAATTGAGAGTGGCATAGTACCATTTAAGCTCACAACTACACCATTTAGAGAAGACACGGAATGCAAAAATTATAATATATATATATATATATATATTCTTTCTAATAGCCAGTAAAATCTGACCTAACCTACCAGTCTCACTACACTTCTAGGTCAGGCTTAGAGGCATGTTAAACAAAAGAAAAAATTAATTGTCTTTTACCTCATGTATATAATATAATTATACAAGTACAAGTATTACAGGAACTTCTAAGCATGGTAACAGCATGTATTGGGGTCAAATTCAACGCGTCAGTTTTAAACCATACACAAATTTGATCCAAACTGGACCTGCAACTTTCTAACTGGCAAAGCTAGAAGTATATATGATTATAACCAATTTAATATCCTATCCAAAATATATAAATAAATAACCAATTCATAATGTGCAAGTGTTATCCTACATCTTGGAGATACCCGTACTTTCACAGCTAAATCCCAGAACAGCTAGGCACAGAGGAGAACTAATAATTTCATCTTCAGGGTTAAGATAATCTAAAAGATACGTACGAGTACTTGATAGAGGGGGGAAAAGGGATTTGGTGATTCTCCTCAAGAAATGGGGCCAATGTTGCGAAAAACACCAACAAACAAAACCCATTCCCAACTACTTGGGCTTATATTTCATAGGATTCATGTTCATATTGGCCAATGTTGCCAAAAGCAAAGGAAAAATTTACTTCTTTTGATAATTTTTGTTTTTTTTTTTTTTTTTTTGATAAAAAAGGAAAAATTTACTTCTTACAAGCTTGGTCAAATGCATCAGCATTTATAAACTTATATGCATGAAAAGCATTCTTCTAAGTTTGGCAAAAACATCGTGGATAAATTTAAAGTGAAGGAAAATGAAGTGAGGTACCAAAGAACGCGTCTTGTAAAATGAATTTGATACATCTAAGCCAGAGTAGTTAAAACCTAAAAAGAAACTCGATGAGCCTGCTGAAACTCCATTGAAGAAGAATCTCCAAGATGGTGTTTCCTTTTAAAGGGGCCTTAAACAACCATGAAACTGTTGTTGGTGCACCAGACAAGACACCAAGATTAACAGAGTGCATCTCACGTTCCAGGTGATTCTCTTTAAAGAGGGAAGAGGGAAAAGGCAGTGGAAGCAACATTTTCTTTTTAATATTGTGGCACTCCACTGGCAACAAGACTAAACACCAGGTAATAGGATAAATTACACACACACAAAAACTAAATTTCCAGGTGTTTTGCAAATATCCCACTAAACTATCAGAAGTAAGCAAATGAGGACATCCCGTTTGTCTGATGTTAGTTCGATAAGTAATTTACCTTTTTACCCTTATTTAGTGAAATTATAATAAAAGTTAAAAAATAGCAAAATATCAAATTACATATATATCTGTAGGTATTTCTATTACAGACATACAGTCACTCTTCTAATGCATGTTATGGTTTTGAGTTTTTTGTTTTCTGGGGTATGCCCTGGTTAAGTTATTGTTTTCTTTTTTCTTGGTTGTTCCAAGTGTCTTGAGCCTCGAGGCAGTTTACTTGTAATTTATTCTCTTGTATCAATAAAAACCACACTCAGGAAAATATATATCGATATCGAAAGGTATAAACGTCGCTTGGCATGCTGTTTTGCATGCCTACACTTGATGAAATCTGCTGTTCATTTTACAAGAACATTAAACCATTTGAGATGAAGGTTTGCCAATCAGTAGCAAGAGGACAAAGTGAAAGGGAAAGGTGGGGGTGCCACAAACAAATTTATCCACCTTTGTCACCATCCCATGTTTACTCCTTTAGTTTTGTTGCAAATGAATATTCCATGGACTGTATAAAGCAATAGTTTTGTTGATTTAAGCCTGCCTTTGATGCATGATAAGGTCGTTGCAGAGAGTTTCATGAGATCCAATACCTACCTCCAATCTGGTATGGGTTTTTCAGTAAGAAGTGATAATGGGTGAAATATGGTGCTTTTGTCTACGAGTGATTTGGTGCTTCATTCCAATCAGTTTATGCTACAAAGCTTATGTTGCTCATCTATGGTGGATCCACAAAGGTTGAAGACGACATGTGAGAGGCAGGTCAATGATAACCATTGCCAAATGGGTTATTAAGAGGATCTAAAATAGAAATCTAGGTGTTTTTTATTCAAGGGTATCTTTATCAATAAGAAAGGGCAATTTTGTGATTTCACATTTTATATTATCACGTTCATTTACCCTTTTAGCACCAAGTAAAATCTCCGAAGGGTATAATGAGAGTGCAACTGCCTAGTATTTTAGATAAAGATCGAGGTAACTTTTTTATTTGGCTAGAGCTGAAATATGTTAAAAGATTAAAAATATTATTACCCTATAATGGCAATAAACTTTTATTATATTGGACATCTACATCAAAATATATTGTGAAACTTTAGTAGCTGATTTCCATTGCCCTTGGATTCTTGGAATCTAACATCTTTATGAGAAACTAATAATCTTTCATCTGTGACAGACCAAGTCACCGTTTGCAAAATACAAGAAGGGACGGCCTGTTAGGGCCTCAGGGAAGGTCTCAATTGTCTATGTTATAGGGGAATTCATGTTGCTTGGTGGTTCTGATTAGCTGAACCTGTCATCCTGATTGTATCGAGACAATTAACTTGACAGGGGAAAAAAAGTGAGGCAACGTAATATAAAGGCGTCCAACCTCATGAAGAGATGTAAACCCAGGTCCAAAACTCAAGCAGATCAAAAGTACTTCTGTTCTTAAACATAGTCATTCACCACCACCACATTGTGACTATGGAAGGTGGGGATTAGAAACATTTTTTAAATCAAAGGGTATATGGAAATGAATTCATATAATTCTTTGTGACTGAAGTTCCATGAAATGATAACTAATGATTAGGTTATTTGTCAAGCGAAGGGTCGAAAAACATAGGAGACACACAGAGAGTAGATACTCACTTGGTAACTAGCAAGTGCCTGCAATAAGCCAACATCGTGATGCTCCAACAAAAACACAATAAAAGTATTGAAGCCGCAAAGTTGGAGTACGAATATGGTGGCATCAGGATGCATGACATCCTCCATAATCAATCTCAAGGACCTCAAGAAAAAGAAATGTAATGTCAGAAACATTCTAGCAAGTCAGGACAATAAAACTATCATTTACAACATCAGATGCAACTCACCATATGGCGTTCTCATAATGATTCACACGAAATATCGACCTGCCCAGATGGACTGTCCTTGGTACTTCTCTGGCGGAATAAACTGCTGGCTTCCTTTCATGATGTGCTGTTCCTGTAGCTGATCATGGTGTGGATTTAGATGTTCTAGAGGCTTGTGATCCTGCCAACCTTGCTGTTTTTCCACTGGGAACTGCACAGTTGGAACTAGTTTTCCAGGAAATGGGAAGGTAATTGTCTCCACAGACCCATTGCCTTCGCTAATATACTGGGGGCTTGAACGTGATGGCTGATGAATGGACTGATTAAGCCCTAAGCCTTTCATTGATGATGACAACTCATATCCATCCAACCAGCTATAGTCATCCATTAATGGATTCTCACCAGTCAAATCTGTGACAGAAAATGACTCACTAACTTGTTTAGGAGGAACATGGCTAAAACCCGGGGGTGGTCCACGGTGCCTAACAGGTCGAGTCACTGCACTCTTTCTCGAATTTGCGGGTAAAGCCGATGATGTCTTTGCAGCCAAACTACCCAAATCAACTCCAGAAGAGGCAATAAAATCAAAATTGGACTGTATCACAGTTTCTGAAGCTTTTCCCTGAATGCAAGATGAATCGTTTGCATAGATATTGGCAGATTGTTGGGGGAGAAGTGAAAGTGAATGAGCCTGTGAAATGCCTAAATCTTCCTGAATCCCAGGTTTCATTGAATACCCATTCTCAGAGATGGTGAAATCTTTTGACTCGTTGGCAAGAGAAGTTTGCTGATCCAAAAACCACATTGAGGAGTGTGAATGAATCGGTTGCAGATGCTGCGGGACAATATTTGCAACAGACGCAGAACACAAGGACTGTTGTGAATTGGCACAAAAAGCAGATTGGTGGCAAAGATTACTGTGAGAAGTTAACATAGAACCACCAAAAAACTGAGAATCACCTGCAAATGCATCCTGGACAGGCTCTGGGCCCTTGTAATGGGTCAATTTTGAAGCAATCACATCACTCCGCTTCTCAGTGACCGTCGGCTTGAAAACAATCTCCTCATCCTCATCTTCCCCTTCCATGTACAGCTGCACCTTTGGCTGCACAGCTCCTGAATTCATCATTGGATCAGTTGGAAAGTCTTGAATCCTACTAACTGATTCAGGACTTCCTGAAAAGGATGTGAGCATGAAATCATCTGAGGTTTGAGGCTCAACACCGATAACAAACTTTTTCAACTTCAAATCAAAAAATAATGTTTTCTGGTCAACCCTAACTACATTTGCTAGGGCCTTTCCTGCAGCTAAAATCCTTTTGACACGAGCACTTTGCTCCTTCTTGCCCTCGCCTCCAGAGGAATGTTTCCTTGAAAAATCCAAAATGGTTTGTGCAGGTTGAAGGGGCACGAATCCTCTCAACTCAAAGTCCTCCCACAAAGCAAGCCGGTTTTCAGTTTCCCCTTCTTCATACCGACTCATATTAAAAAAGCAGGTCTCATCTTCATCATCTATGGAGACCAACCCATTTGACAAGAGCTTATTTAAAAAAGATATGCAGTCATTCCAAAATTTTGATCTAACAGTCGCTTGTTTATCGTCTGTGTCACCACCCGCTGCAACATCAGGACAACAAGCCAACCATTCCAGAAACACCATAATACCAGGTAAGAGACAACTTGAAGAAGAATCACGCAACTGAATGCATCTTCTCAGAATTTGTCCCAGTAACTCAAAAACTGCAGCAAGTGCATTCTGAAGCAGAACTGTACGTTGTACGATATCTGCATAGGTCTGACCTTCAGCCTCCCTATTCACATTATGAACAGTGAATATAAGGATGGAAATAAGCTTAACTATTGTAAGTCCATTCTCAGCAGGATCTGTGCCGAAATTCAATTCCTCTTCTGGCCCAGAAGAAAGAAGCTCATGCAGAGCACTGCTAACCAGTAAAAGAACTTCTGCAAATGTCTCCAAGCTGGAGAAAGAAAGTCATAATAAGTAATACCCTTATAAAGCTTACATCACGTCTCATGTCAGAAATGTCGAAGATAAATACCTTGTGCGAGTGAAAAGAATGCCATTTAGACGAACAAATCGAACGCAAAACACTTTATATATCTCATGGTTACTGACTGCTTTTTCCCCTACAAGACGAGAATCGATGTTGGCATCCTTAGGTCGAAGTTTTGCTTCTGATTTCCCTCTTCCTTTGGCAGTCGTCCGTCCAGATGATCCATTCGTAGCAGAAGCTTTAGCATCCCCATGCAGCTGAGAGTAACTCTGACGATTCTGCCAAAAGTAGATAAAAATATAAATAAATGTTGGAAGGTAAATGCAGAAGATTCCTTCATCAATTCGAAAAAATTAAAACAAGAATTGAGTTTGCCAGAAACAAGAAACATAGTTAATTTCTATAAATATGGGACGGTATGTATATACAAGCTCAATTCAACTTAAACATCGCCTTTTCTATCTTAAATGTAATTATGCCAGCTCATGTGTCAACTTTCAAATAATAATAATAATGTTCAGCTTCGGCAATATAATATTAAATCAAACAACTCTTAAGAATTGATGTAAAATCAATAAAAAAGGGCAAAGCAAGTCCCAACTCCCAAATAATACATGCGTCATTAGAATTGAAATAAGTAAATAATTTTATGATTAGTACTACAAGAAATGAAGTTTAGCATAAATTAGGTCGTCGCTTTTGTAATTCATATTCTTGATTAGGATTACTTAAGTCATCATATTATTATATGAGCTAGGTTACAATTATTTTTTAGGGCAAAGTGCAAAAAAAAACCCCTCAACTATGCCCCATTTAGCAAATAACCCCCTTGAACTATAAAAGTTGCATAAACCCACCTGAACTAATCACTTGGGTTGCAATTAACCCAATCCGGCAATCGGCTGGTTGAATTTGAGCGTTAATAAGTCGCGTGACAGTCTAATTTTATTTAAATGACCATATAGCCCTTATGGAAGTAAAAACCAGTGTCCATTAAACCCCAACCAAACACGCCCTCTCTGCATGTGTGTGTGTGTGTGGGCGTGGGCGTGGGTGTGGGTGTGTGTGTGTGTGTGGGTGTGTGTCTATATATACAAAAACAAAAATTCAAGAAATTGACTCAAAAAATAGAATCTGATCCGGCGACTCCGAAACAAGAAGAAGAAGAATTCCAAAATCAAGAATCATAGAGCAACTTTGATATAGAAGAAGAAGAGACCCTCAGTCCAAAAACCCCCAATCCAAGCAGAACTAGTGAAGGGTTTGATTCCCCAAAACCCAATAAATCGGAATGAGCAGAAGAAGAAGAAAAAGGTTACAAATGGCGATGAAGAGAATGGAGCTATCGAAGAGACCAACCATGAACAAGAGAGAGAAAAGCATGTCTAATTGTCTATAGTGCATATAATGATGGTCAAGCCAATAAAAATTCGTGAGCAACAAAAGAATGAACAAATGATCTCAGGTGCGTCTGTTTCTGAGGAATGAAAATCATGAAAAGAACGGGGAGAGAGAGAAAATAAGATGGATAAGTGGAGGCAAGGGCGTAACTTAGCGTGGGCTAACCTGGGCTATAGCCCAGGTCCAAAAAAATAAAATAAAATATAATAAAATTTAGTACTACTACTTCCTATCAGCCACAGTCCAGCCCAATCAGTCATAGCCCAGCCTATGCCCAATCCATAATAAAACAAAAATAACAAATGGCCCAGTCCAGCAATGAGCAACTCTCTGAACAAAATAAAGAAGCAACATGCTAACGAAATCTCACTTATCTTACAAGAGAATATTCATTCCATTCAAATAGCTCTTTTGGTGTAACCAAAGCTACATCGTTCGTTGTTCATCTTTAAATTTTTATATCTGTAGCCCCTCTCACTTTGCAATCCTAGCTCCGCCCGAGTGGAGGATTTATCAATCTATGCACGCTTGAGAGACTCTCGGACTTCATAGAGAAAGAAAGAGAGACACCACCATGATGGTTATCGGGCAATGATCTTCTATGATTTTGAAGGGTTTTGCTCTGGTGATGCTCTGGCAGATCTGTTGTGGTTCCAAACAGCAGTGTTCCGGTGAGCAAATCTTCGAGGATTTTGACTGTCAAAATCAATGCTCTTAACAGATTTTTGAAAGAGTGAGCAAATCTTCGAGGATTTTGACTGTCAAAATCAATGCTCTTAACAGATTTTTGAAAGAGTGAGGAGAAAGAAAAAGGGTGAAAGAATTGAGGAAAAAGAAGAAGGTTGAATGTAAGGTTTGAATTTTGAATCTAATTTAGTACCTTTACGGCCAGAGCAGCTGACATCAATAAGTGAGTTCAGCCGCCGGCGAGAGGTTGTGGCAAGGTGAGGAGGCGGTGACCCAGTGAAGATGGAGAAAAAGAGGATTTTTCTTGTTTTGTTTTTGTTTTACAGAGACTTGGTGAGGATGATAACAGACAACTTCGTTTGGCTTAGGAATTGAGATGGGTGTGTGACCGTGTCATACATATGAGATAAGGTTGGTGTGTTGTCAACACTTAAATAAATGAGCTGGATGATAGCAATCTCAGGAACCAATTAAGTGCACAAGTGTGAAACGAGGTCGATTTAAATGAGGGTATATGTGTCCTTTGATTTTTCCGACCAACTCACTTGCCGGATTGTCCTTAATTGCAACAAATCAAAAGTTCAAGGGGGTTTTTCGTAGTTCAGGGGGGTTTCTTGCAAAAGGCCAATAGTTTAGGTGGGTTTTTTGCACTTTACCTATTTTATATGGTTGAAATCAAGTCTATTATTATTATTAACTAGGGAACTGCCTATTTTGATAGAATGAGTCCTATTTGGTAACAGTAGTGAGTTGAATTCTTTGGCATTAATAATGAGGAGTAATTCTTAGCTCCTTTTGTGTGTGTGTGTGTTCGGGGGGGGGGGGGGGGGGGGGGGAGGTGGGGGACAAGTAAAGATTCATTAAAGGCGCTCAAGAGGAGAGAGCACCTGGAAATGTACAAGAAACACTATAGGAACCATACAATCATACCTATAATCCACGCTATCAACAAAATTAATAATATCGCCCATGGATTTACAATTCCCCCGTTGACCCAAAAAAATAAAATTCATAGCTCCAGTAGTGTCCTTAGGATTTACTAGTATCTACCAAATATCCCCTTTGGGGTCATCAAGATCAGTGTTTTATGAGATTATTTTTATTTTATTTCAATGAGTTCCAAACTCCTCAATCACTTTTGAGCGTGGAATCCAAAATAACAATTGTGGAAAAGGGTACCCATTCTTGTTTTGACCATGATTATTCTACAAGGGAACTGTTCACTGCAACTTACAGTTCAGAAACACATTGATTTTCAACAGGATAACGAAGGGTATAATAGTAACAGAAGTGTCCTCATAACGAAGAATATATTGACAGAGGTAACCCCAACTGTGTTATCATAAAGTAGCCACAACGAAGAATATATTCATAATAGGTTATTGTGTGTGTGTGTGTGAGACCTTAATAAACATGTAGTTCACCAACAAAACCTATTCAGTAGTTTAGTTTCAGTAAATTAACCAACTATGAACACACAGAATAACACAATTAACAAAGAAAGTCCCTAATGCATAATGTGTTTTATATCTAAAGAACCTCAGGGCTTGAATATTTATTTATCCTCACTACAAATTTCAAACAAAGAATAATGTGTACGTGTCATGACACTGATACAGCAGTCCAAATAATATAAATATACCTTCTCAAACGCAACAATCAAGTTATCCCTTGCAGTTGAAAAGGGATTTTCCACTGCCAGACTCCGAAAGTAACGGTAAACAGCGACAAATTCATCACCAGAATAAGTAGCCAGTATGGCAAGCTGGAAGAAGAAACAGAGTAATCCCATTACGAAGGTAAAAGACATTGTAACTGACAAACCCAAAGCATATATACAAGGAAAGATGGGACGAAAACATAGAAATAACATTAACAACCACAAAATTTTATAAATAACATGATAAGGGAAACCTGATGATGGGGGTTGCCACTGGATGGCCAAAGGCATGCAGCTTGCAGGTAGTAACTTGAAGCTGCGGCATAATCACGACTTTTGGAGTCACCTTCCCCATACAGTCCTTTGTAACGTGCAAGGTCACCCAGGTATATCAAACAACGGTGACAGGATACCAAACCCTTCTTCGTCTCAGCAGATCTCTTCCCATCTTTCTCCAGAACAATTTGATTCCCCGAATCCTCAGAGAAGTAACCTAGAGGAAGCCCATATTTAGCTCTAATTTTCAAAATTAGATCATGATAAAATCCAGTTGCTTCTGAAAGAAACGTTTTAAATTGCAGGCGTATTTTGGTAATTCGATCAGGTCGAACAGGGCCCTTTCCACCCTGCGACGTTGTCGAGCCAGCAGAAGCTAGGGCAGCACTCAAGTGTGCTCTGAATTCCTCAATTCGCCGGTAATGTAACTGCCATAAAGCATATTCAATATTGTGCTGTTCGGAAAAAGTATGATCCTCAAGAATTATTGCTTCATAGTTCTCACGCATCTGCTGCCAGGCATTTGGATCTGAGGGAACTCTAGCCTGGGCTGACCTACGGCGCCTATTCTCCAACTCAACATTCTGCAGAAAGAAATTTTTAAATAAATTAGTGTTATGGGATTTTCATAATAATAAATATTTCTCAAAGCAAGAGAGGTGGATTTCTGAAAACATCAAAAGTTTATATGTACATAAAAGGATTCGGTTTCAAGTTATTATACATAAACACCTTTAAAAAACCTATCAGATGTGTATTGTGTCCTCAGTTGACAAAATTATTAAATCATTTTTTTCAAATTTGATATATATTTCCCGAAATTCGATCATATGGATCCATGCTTCACAGCCAACAAGTTCTACAGCCAAGTTGATTCAAATTACAGGAGAACATAAAAGAACTCATGTGTTCATGTCCTAATAATGGTGCTCTACTATGTACGAAGACCAAAGAATTTTCATTTTTCCCATAAAAATTAAACATTTAAAAAGCTATATCAAACTTCCTAAAGATAAGTTTTTATTCGATCCAACATGCTTTTTTTTCATAGTTAAAGATAATAACACTGAAGAAAATAAAGAGCGAACATACCAAGCACTGGGAAGGCATACCAAAGGCTCAAAAACACAAAGACCAACAGTGAAGAGTATAATCCCCTTGACTTCCCACGATGTGAAAATCTGTCTAAGCAAATGTATTGGATTCGAAAGACTCCATTCCTTATCTTTCTCTTTTCTTTTTGTAAATGACATGAATTTACATGCTCTACATCATTTCATGGTCATATGGGATGGATACAACTGATGAACTTATTGTTGACTACTTACATCAATTGCGTCTAGTTCTTGATTCGGAATTTTTATGACAATAAAACATATGTTCAAATCTTAGAAATTTTTTTTTTTTTTTCTATTATTACACTTTTCATGGGATTTGGTTCATTCAATGCATACGCACATGCATATCAAAAAGATTTATGCACATTTTTTTATTTGACTCTCAAGTTTATCTGTGCGCTGGGAATAAAGCAATCAAAGAACACCACAATAACCTTCATCTCCCAATTGATACAAGACAATACAGCAGGGAATGAGAAGATAATAAGAAGGGGGTAAAAAAGCATAGGAAACATGAGATGAGATGAGAGAGATAAAGATGAGAAGACTGAAAGAAAGAGGTGAGAAAAGCAAGAATAAGGGTGAGAAAAAAAATGGAGCTAGATCTCTGAAAGCCACGATGATAATCAGATCAAAGTATGAGAACAATTCTTATTACAATAGGGCCTTTTATAGGGAATAAAATAAAACCCTATAAATTAGAGAACTCTAAAAATAAAATAAAACCCTATAAATTAGAGAACTCTAAAAATAAAATAAAACAAAATAAAGAAAATATATATAAATATAAACCAACAATGTAATTCTAGAAAACTCGTGCCTACACCTAGCCTCCTCCAACATGGCCTATAGGACTCATTATGATCTCAGATCTCCATACTAATAGCCCTGGAGAATTCAAAACTAGAGCCTCTTATCGACTGCTATCAAATAAATACTTAAAAACAAAACTCCAATGGTTATATGCCAGAAGCAGATCTGCCCTGTTCCTCGCCACAAACCTCGTGTTTTCATAGAACTCCTCCCAACACCTCAAGGGTGCTTTTCCACACATCCAGAGTATGGAAAAACAGGCAATAATATCTCTTGTACACAAGATTACCCTGTCAAGCCCATATTTTTGCTCTACTGCTCTTCTTCACAGCCTATCTCCTACTTATCACACCTCTCGAACCACTCCCCAAACAAAGCCTAAACAAAACATCTGAGATTCCTGATTCCCTAACCCTCATTCATCACTAGAGAACAAAATGAGTTCCATCTCACAATGTGATGTGATATTTTAACAAATCCCATACCACCAACTTTTCCAACCTTTTCCTCACTGGAGTTGGAATGAAAAACAAAGACGTAAAATACTTCAAAAATCTAGAGATAGTAATCTTTGCTAGAGTGAGTTTGCCCCTTTTAAAGAAGCCAATCTCTTCCAACCAACCAACCAACCAACCTTCTTATGAGTTTAAATTGCCACAACATTCACATTAGCACAGAGTTGTGTTGGTTGATGGAACCAACGTCTCTCTCAATGTTTAAATTTGAAATGATTTTATTAGGGATATATTTTTTTTTTTTAAATGGTTTCAACTTTCGCTATATATATGCGAAATAAGGCCAAGATTCCGACCTCCAATTATGCGAGAAGTAGAGGGTTGAAAAACGTTTCTCTAGAAGTTGATTTGAGACCAAGTTTTTAGATTCAAACATGAAAACTACGTCTACTCTCAAATTTATGCATTAGACCGTGAATTATGCTTATCTTGAATATGCTAACATGTCCTAAAATGGTCCACCACCTAGCCCAAACTTTAGTGAAGAAAAACATAAAGCCAACCCCAAATACACTGTTGGAAGCTCCCAAACACAAATCCTAAAAAGCCACCCCCAAACAGAATTTTTATCCAGGCATAGATTGTTACATTGCGACTTAGCAAAATGGTAAGGTTGCAAAATGGGAAAACTAGAAAATGAGAATGCAAGAAAGAGATGGGATGTCGATTCTTCTATGATTGGGGGTTGGGGGGGTGGGGGTGGGGACGAGAATACCTTTTCATAAAAACGTTGAGCAAGCTCCCATGATGAAGGAGCAGACATTTTATCCATCTGTACAATCATCATCCATCAAATATGTTTGACAAAGTTCAACTTGTCTTCAACCTGCAGAAAAATTGACCGCACCATCAACATTGCAAACCTTTCTTGGCACTCTTCAATCAAATTGCTTACTTTTAAAAAAGATATAAAGATGGAATTGAATGCAACATCAGCAGGACCAAAACGAGCTAAAATTTTGGCTCTTTTTTAAAAATTAAAAAAAAATTCCATTCAATGCTGGGGGAAGACAAAAACTATTTGTGCAAAACAAAGACCACATGCATGCATTACTGCTAAAACATCCATAATATTTCAACCATCTGATTCTGATCATCCATGACCATATTAAATTTTTTTTTTATAATGTATTAGAAAGCGTTCAAAAGGGGAATGCATCCTAAGTACTACACAAAGGCCGCAAGAGACCCTAAGGACCCAAGGAACCCAAAAAACCAACTATCTCCTCTATAGATGTACAATATCTCCCCATTACCCAATAAACGAGAGAGCTATGACTGGCTAAAATGTATTAGGATGTCGGTTCCAGTGAATGCCCTTAAAGTTGAACAATAAAACAAATGAACATGAAAAACAAAACACAATTTGTACTCACATGGCTATAAGTTAGATACCCGAGAGAGTAGCTGTAATTGAAAGCTATACTTGGCAATCATTTACAAGATAACATGTTTGATGGAGGCCAATTTCATCAACTGAAATTCCTTATCACATCCTTCTACCACATCTTCTCCAAAGAATTTCTACGCAACGATACCCTACCTCTTGTATTAAGATTAAGATACATTACAGTCCTAGCATTTTCAAAGTGCCTCGGTTGATTCCAAGAGAAAAAATCAAAGCAACTTTTTTTTTACTTTCAAAAGCAAGAAAAGCACAACATATGTATTGACTTTCACAATTAGACCCTCAAATTTCATTTGAAAAGGTTCCGTCTATGAATCTATTAATACCCAATTAACAACCGCAGATACAAAGTATTTGCCACAAACCCTAATAAATTTTAGGACAAAAAGCTTTTCGATCTATGGTCCATCAATTCCACAATTTTGCATGCAATTAAACGTTGATTCTTATCAAATTTACACTAAATTCGATTAAATCAGCACTATCAAACCCATATCCCCAATTAAAACAAGATCACAAGTATGCCCAAACAAAAAATTAAAATCAATTTTCTTGTTTTCTAAAGCATTCTAAAACAAAATACCAGATCGATTGTGGAGAACTAGACACCAATCCTTCTTCCTTAATTAAACGAATAAGCTCTAATTTTAGAAATCAAAAAAATTAATCATAGAAATATATGGAAGATAAACTTACTTTCAGAATCAGATCTGTGGAGATTCTTCTTAGTCCATACAAAGAAATCAGACTTTCCTTTTACGAGAATCAATATATATATATATGTGTGTATGTATATTATATATATATATATATATGTGCGTATGTATATATATGGGTTGTGATTCTCAGACGGTAAAATCAGCGAGAAAGACACGAAAATTGTGGGGAAAAAAATCTAGGGTTTTCATGTTTTCGGTGGAATGGGGTTAGATTTCTATTGGTTTTCTGGGATCGGTCATAGGCGGCCACGTCTTTTTTATTCTCTTTCTTTTACGAGGAATGGATTCTCACGCGCCTTTGAGTGTCGTGAAAGCCACTCGCCAAGGACAAGGGGTGGACTTTGAGATGACTGAAGTGGGACCCTCACGTGACAGATGTCATGTATTTATTGGATGTGATGGAGATATTACATATCAGTGTCTGATTACTACGTATCGAAATTTAATTAGTCAATTATTATAATAGTAACTAAATTTGAGGACTCTCATGCGACAGTCCGACCACTTGCATTGGTTTTTTAAGACCTAAAGGCTATACGCAATAAATAAAATTTCTCAATAATTATATATAATAAAATAATTATAAACCAAACAAAATATTCGATAAATAATTTTATGTAATCAAATACTTGTATTGATTGAACTTTATGTGCCTGCTTGATGGGAATTGGTTGATATCATGATAATAAGATGACAAGGAATTATATTGTTCTACTAAAAACATTGTACAATCGAGATTTCCTAGGTAAATGAGGTTTAAAACACCAATAATGGTCTACATTGTGTTGCGATTATGTTTAACACAGGAGTAGGAATAGGGTGCGTTGGGCATGTTAAGTTATCAATATATTTATCAATTCAAATACATCATTTAAGTTAGTTGAGAACAATTTTTATGAATACGTAGAACCAATTTGAATAATACATGTAAGTTGATTGGACATACCAATAACTCCTAACACGGAGAGTGGATTAAGGAATTTTCTATGCACAAAAGTCATGGTTGGATGTGATCCAAGTGTAAGAATGTAATTCTCATAAAAATATAGAAATCACATCTGACGATCACCGTGTTATGTTTGGTGAATATAAGTTTCCTACTTGATGCAGTTGAGGCCTAAAGCAATTAGGCCTTCTCACAAAATCATATTAATATAGTACTAATAATTTTATTTTAAATTTATTCTATCTATGTGTAATAAGCTTAAGGAAATATAAAATCACTATTTATGTTTTTTAACTTAATAAATAGAGATTTACTTGTGCCGAAAATTTAAGACGATAAATTACAAAATATAAAATTTTGAATAAGTATTGATATGCAAGAGAATTTCAAAATTAGAATAAGTTTAAATTGTTGAGGAAAAAAATGAAGTAATTATAAGATAAAACTAAAATAAACTTGTATTGACCAATAAAAGAGTAGTTATATTTATTTCGTCATTAATAAATATGTGAAGCATAAATATTATTTCATTAATATATATATATAACTAATATAAATGAAACTTGTATTGAATAATGGAAGAGAAATTGTATTTATTTGGTAATTAATACAATACACGAAGCATTAATAAGTCTTTAATTGTTTATATAATTAAGAAAAAAAATTGTTTTAAATAATAGAATTACAGTTGTATTTATTTGGTAAGTAATATAATATATTAAGTATAGTTAATTCACTAAAAGAAATATATAACTAATATAATAATATATGAGCCTCTTCTCCTACCGGGAACCTTAAGCGATCGACCACCTTAATTATCTAATGATTGAGTCCTCATGGGTCATAATTCGATTAAAAATATATATATTTTTCTTTCAATGAGCCTTTAGATGATCGATCACCTTAATTATCTCACGGTTAAGCCATCCGGCAAACAAGAGATCATTACCCACTATGTGTGTGTGTGTATTTGGTTAGACATAATAACAATGCATTAAGGACATGTTGGAGATAGAGTACCACTAGACTTTGACAATATTTTTTTAAAAAATATATATATATTTTCTAACCACCAATATCTAACAACACTCTTATTAAGTGATGGCCAAGAACAGGTCACTTAATGATAAATTACTGTCCATAACTGATATTCTTATGAGGTGATGTGTTCATTTGTTGAAACCCTCGAATCAGCATTATAAATTATTATAACTAATTGTTGTGTCCCAATTTGAACACTCTGAAAGGAGCTGAGACTAGTCCTTAATCATCATTGAGAGTCCTTGTTGAATACTGATGATTGAAATAGTAAAAAGATCAATCGTCTAAGTGTTACATACTCTTTCGATATAACTGTGTAATTTTTTAATTTATACTATTGTTAAAAAAAGAGTTTGATGCAATTTTATAACATAATAGGGTTAATAGACAAATAATATAAAGTTTTAAAAACAAAAACAACAAAATTGAGGTTTCTCCCATAACACCAAATTACTGACGTATTGCTTAAATTATTTGTCTACTTTAGTTTGCAAGTTGGTTTAGTGCTTTATTGCTTAAAACATGTGTAATATAACTGCCTCTTTTTTTCTTTTTCTTTTTAACTTTTCGTTTTTTTTTTTCCTTTTTTAATGAACAAATCATTGGTACAGTGAATATAATGAGCAAAAGCCCTAAATTATATATATAACACGATATGTTATATTATCACTCTATTGTCATATCTTTGCTGCTTTCTTCTCTAATTTTTCGACATTTATTCTATCCACGTATCCGAAAAAAATACTATAATGAATAAAGTGTAACTGATATTTAGAATAATAAGTATTTCATTCTAAATTAGTTGATTCACTCTAAAGATTCAATGGGATTTATTAGCATTTTCTAATTTTTTTGTAAAGAATATTGAGAATGTGTTGGAAAACTGTAATCTGTTTATGTTCACAAAAATATTTAATAAAGGGACTTGAAATTTCTCCTATTGTAAGAGACCGTGGTGCATTCGTGTTGCATATGAGCTCACCAAAACGTGCCATTTGGTGCACTGGATGGACCACACAGGATCCCCTCCAATATATGCTTACGATAATTACCTAATTAAAGATAATTGCTACGCTTTAAATTAGAAAAAGGGGGTTTTTTTTTTTTTTGTATTTTTCGGTATTCTATATATACTCAGATGGTTGAGTGTTTCTTTTAAAAAAACATACTACCTAAAATTGGATATATAACTTGATTTCCAGTTGTCCCAAGTTAGGATATTCAGTTTCAAGTCACAAAAGCAAATTCAAAGAAGATATGGATCACTAAACTCTATTTAAATTTAAAAAATAAATATTTTCCTAATATAATCATATGTAATAATATTATTATTAAGCCTGTCATTTTAAAATTCACCAAAAACACCAACCTATTAAAATTTATTTATTGAATGCAAAACTTTTATATGGAAGTTGCATGCAATGGTATCACTCATACACAACAAAGTATAATAGAGAAACTTGTTCAGAATAAGATTTGGGTTTGAATTTATAGAACAAATAAAAATTATAATAATTTGTGTAAACCAACAACAACAAAAAGAAGATATATATATATATATATATATATATATATCAATATCATAATATGAACACAGTTTGGTACCATGTTCTTTCCTTTGCATTCTCATTTCCACTGCCTTCTAAATCATTTTAGTTTTTAAGATTTTTTTTTAAAGCATAAAAGTGATAGAAAGGAATACTAGGAAAAGTCTTACAACAATAATATAATATATAGATAGATATATATATATATATATATATATATATAAATTTACTCCTTATATTGATGCATGATGCATCGACGTCTCCACCCACCAAAGAGGATGCCTCCATAAGCTGCAGTGGGATTCAATGGGTCAAACGGCTTTTGGCTCCGAGGTTGCACCTACTCCATGAAATGCTATTATGAGATGTTCGTGAATTCTTTCCATACATGTCATGTAACTATTACAATTTTGATTTAAGTTGACGAACACCGTTTTACGAATGAGTCGTATGAGGGGTGTGTTGTATTCGAACACTAATATTTCTCGAACACTCATTGAATATGTGTCCAATATTTTATATACATATCTATAAATAAATATTAAATTTTATTATTTTAAATACTTTATCGATACTTTTCGACATTTGTAAAACTAATCTACCTAATAATCTTGAAAATAATATGAACATATTATAAACAGTTCAAATTTTTTTTTTTTCTTTAAGAAAAATCGGCATTATATATCATCACAATTGAACTATAAAATGATATTTGTTTACTTAAAATAAAGTAATATTATGACAAAATAGTGAAATAACAATATATATAATATAAAAATTATTACTAGAATGACATAATTTAATGTTTTAAATCATTTCAGAGTAATTAGAAATTAGTCATAATTTTATAATCCATATTTATATATACTTGTGTCATGCCAAATTCGTATTTTACATGTACTATACTGTACGTGTTATCATGTCCGTTTTCACTACCAGTATCATCCTACTCGTGTGACATTACATTCTCAATCTAGGAAATGTAATTCGGAGGATCCGACCCCCTAGAGATAATGCCTCCAAATGTTGCCGTGAAATTGAATGGGTCAATTATTTTTTGACTCCGAGTTAGGGGTGCAACTTAGGCTAAGTAACCCAAATCTAATCCAAATCCAGCTCGATTTTTTGTAAGCTTGGACAATCATTTTTACAATTAGGGTTAGGCCTGGGTTAAAAAATCTCAATCCGAATTCAATTAGGGTTGGGCTTGAGTTGATGTGCTAGCAACCTGAACCAACTCGAACCCGAATTCTAATATTATTTTCATATGTATTTTTAATTTTAAATACATTATATATAATATTTAAACTATGATTACTTTTTTTCTTTTCAACTTCCTTTAATAAATTTTAACTTATTGTATGTTAACATCTAGGATAATTAATTTATAAGAATTTGTTTGTAATTTATTAAAAAATTACAAAAAAATTTAAATTTTTTTTAAGAGTAATTTAATCTAAAACTAATTCAAAATCATATTAAATTTTTGGTAGGAAGATTAGTCATGTGAGTAACCCGAATTAACCCGATTTTTTAATTCATAATATAAGTCCGAGTTGCAAGCCCAAATTTAAAAGTAGAAGGATGGGTTGGGCTGTGGTTGAGTAGTTAGGGTTGAAGATAAGATTATGGTTGGGCTTGAATTTAGTATTTCGTATGATAAGTTGGGCTCAAATTATTCCTCAAATCTGTCTGAAGTGCAGCCCTGTTCCGAGGATACACCTAGTCTATGGAATGCAATTGACCAGATTTCAATATGAGTTAAAAAAAAAAAAAAAAAAAGGCTTGTTCAACAATCACCACCATCAAATGTGGAGTTTGAATAACTGAGAGGACCAGAATTTTATTCTTTTTCTTAGAAGAGCCTTTCGATTTCCTCATTCTGTCCTACATTTACTGAGAAAAGATAATTAAACTAGAGTCAAGCAACTGGTATTATTGAACCATCCTTGGGAATTTCTATGACTTCATGGAAATCTTCCGTTTGATTTCAAAGTTCAAACACACAAAATATATGGACATAACACAATTTTTTTTTTTTGGTAAAAAATAAAATTAATGTATGAAAACAGGCAAGTGAACAAACAAATGGACTGCTTTCTTCACATTCCAACATGCAGAATTCTGGAAAGTCTTCAATCTTATTGATGCAAGTATGAGACTTAAATGACTGCAACAGTTGCACATGCCTATACACACACACATATATATTCTTCACACACACACACACATATATATTCTTCACACCCACACACACACACATATATATTCTTCACACACACACACACATATATATTCTTCACACCCACACACACACACACATATATTCTTCACACACACACACACACACATATATTCTTCACACAACACACACACACACACACACACACACACATATTCTTCATTAGTGCAATTATGTACAGTTGAGGCTATAATCAACTTCAAAAAAAAAAAAAAAAAAGCTAGTTTATCCAATGCTGTATTATGCTAGGCAAATATATACATACAATCAAGAACACCAATGAAGCTCAACACCATATGACTGTAAGATAATTCAAAATCTGAAGTTCATGAGAAGTTGCACTTATAAAACAAAAATCATAATAAGACTTTCAATAAATTTACAACCGTAATGCCAGATTTATCACATCCATCATCATATTTCGTACTCTCTCGGAATTGCAGGATTGCAGGATCTCAAATTTTACAGGCAGCATATAGCACAAACTAAATGTGAATTCAAAGAATATTCTTAAGTAATATGCATCTCAAAGGACTAAAAAAGAACTTAAAATACTAATTTGCAGTATTAAGAACAAATCAATGAGAGAAATGACGCACAAGAGAGTGTCTACGTATTTAGAAGAATAAAAAAATGGCAGACAGAGGCTCTCCAAATGAAGCGATTTGAATTTCATGAAATTTGAAACAAGATGATTCCTACTCTTAACATCCCAAGTCACAAAAGTAACCAAGGAAAGAGAATGCGAGGGTTAGCTAATTGTAGTGAGAGAAATACAACTTCACTGTCTCTGTATGACAATGCTCAATGTGATGCACTTCCAAATTATCATATTGTAAGATGTCCCGATAAGGCAAGTCCTGATGATGCGAACTGAAGACCATGCTTCAAGTTGAAAAGAGAAGTTTATAAACCGTGTAACAACGGATTAACATATTTCAAGCAAACAATTTCCATCTATTTAATATATTTACTTGATATGCAACTATATCGTAACCCTTACTGTCGAGGAAACAACTATTTACATGATAAGAAGTTCAGAGGAAACCTAATAACAATCATATGTTTCATATTCCTAATTGACCAGAGGCTGCTTGTATTCTCTGCACAAACAATATTCAATTCAATTGAAACATAGAATAATGAGTTCAATTATCTTCCAAAGTCCATCTCCTTCTGACAACTCATTTAGAATCCATAATCAATCTGTCTTCACGTTCTCTGCGGATTCCATCCTTTCCATTTCATATTTCCGAGCCATCCAAACCCGAGTGAGAACTGAACAGACTGCAGCTTTACAAGGTGCTTTCTGTAAGGTATAAGTACATTCCTAAGACCTGTTTGATGCTCACACACACACATTGAAAATATAAAAGAAAGTCATCAACAACAAAGAAGAAAGAATCCCCTTGCAAAAAACAAAAAGAATCATAAACAGAAGAATAATATTTTTATTTTTAATTGTAATTAAAACTTAAATATCCTAAGAACAATGTCAAATTGTAAGTACCTGAAATGCACATTGTCTTATAAAGAAGAGCAGTACGGGCATCCCCCTTTGTACTCATGCGAGGCCTCTCCAAGCACTCGAGAAATGCTAGGTCAGCTTTCAGAAGCTCTGCCTGGTCGTGACTGTCATAACCAATGTCATGACAATAGCAGCAATAGTCCAACCAATCAATTGGGCGCCTGTCCCAAAGAAGAGAGCCCTTATCTTTCCCACTTGACCAATTGGGTCCGCAATAGTGCCCATAGCGTGGAAATAACTGAGAAAGAAATGCTCTTGCACCTGTATGCCATGGAACCTTGGAAACATATGGCCTGAAGCGCACGGTGGAATACCCAGCACCAGATTCAAAAACACCACGACGTTGTCCATGCCTCTTCAACTTTTTGTTGACAGTGGATGATATTTGAATTTTATTGCTGGAACTGATAGCCCAAGGAATGAATGAAAGAAGGGACCAACCCCACAACTTGGCATCAAAACGAGCCTTTTCTTTGGGTGCTTCCATTAGGGAACTTGTTGATGCAAAGGTGGTTGTTGCATCCTCGTTGGAATGGGCTCCAAACCAGGGTATATTATTACTGAGAAACCCAAAGTTCATTGCTGGAAAACACAAGATGCCACTATCAGACACACTTCAGCCACCAAACATTTCTGTTTCAGTATACCTCCCTCTGTCTCCCCCTTCACATTTGAATGGGGCTCAAATGAACAGATATAACTATGAAACCTAAAGCTAATCATTAGAACCGCAAGGCGTCACAGATCTTAACAATCAAACCACCATAAGATCAATGATTCAGTGTGTGTATACGCATATATGCGGGTGTCAAAAGAAGCCACCTAAATGGAAACTGAAGCATAGCTACCATTTTTATTCTTAAAATCCCACAAACTGTAGCAGTATATAAAATATAAAAATAGAAACATATTTTGCATTAAACAGCCACCATTGACAAGAGTTCCACAATTCATCATCACTCTATATATGTATTACTTCCATTAACTAATGCTTTCACCATAAGAACAACAAAAAACAAAAGCAACTTACGAAAAAAGAGAAGATGAATATAAAACCAACATTGTTTAACACAAACCAGTTTTTCATACAAATAGATGGTATATAGACAATACAATTAAGGCTCTATTTGGTGGCTGAGAAAAAGAGGGAAAACAAAAAAGAGAATCAAAAATTTTTTTTTCTCAAACTTTTTTCTAATTTAGAAAACAAGAAGATGAGAAGTTCCACTCAACGGAGCATGATATGATGATGTTCCATTAGATCCGGCAGATTGTAGTGGCAATCTCAGAAATCAAGTTTGTAAAGGGCACTGATTTCAAATGACATCCGGCAGCTGTTTTCATGTGTTATTGAGTTGTGTTTCCGAAAAAAAGAATACAACATTTGCAACAAGAAGGCCACACTGTTTAAAACACATCATATAGATGAAACGAGTGCTTTCTCATTCTTCACCCCTCTAATCTTGCTTGTTCAATGACCTCGGTATCAGAAAGACCTAGATGACGTAATCAGATTTTCAAACCTTTTATTATCTCTAAACCACAGCTCCAATCAAAGAAATTGGTCCTATTTCCAAGTTATACCCGGTATTTCTACAATTTACTACGTAAATCTCCGCGAATCAGAATTGATTTTCCTCCTTTACTGCCAGAAAACTCCTCAAATTCTCATCTATGTTGTTGATTTTCAGCCATTTTCTTAACGTGTTCTGCAAAACCAACAAATTTGTTTTTACCCTTCTGGTTTTGTTATTGTTTTGTTCTGTTTGTTCTTTTAATTTTATTTTATTATTATTATTTTTTTGGTTTTTGGATGGTGGACAATAAAATCACCAAAAAAATAGTATAGAATATAGCTCAAGCAAGCAGCAAGCTAGAAGACACACACACAAAGAAAAAGCACAAAGTCTGAATGCATACTCACAATCTGAGGGGAAGAGGTAGAAACACTGAAACTCTACTAAGGAAAAAGGGACGAAAGTCAAAACACCATTACACTCAACTAGAGAACTCACCGAACTTTATAAAAGGAAACATTGAACACTTTTTTGAGTTTGGAGATCTATATTGGGTAATACTTCTAAGGTTTGTGCCTTTTCTTTCTCCCTCAAAATCACAAATTTATGAAAACGAAAACCCATTTCCTAGAGAAACACATCCACCTATTCCCCCAATTACCTACCAATCCAATTTTCGACAAGTAATAAAACACTTTCTTGTTTATGTGTCGTGCAAGTTGTACGGACGTCCATGTGTGCTGTGATTCTTAGTCACCCAAAACCAAACAAGTTTCATCTGTTTTCTTTATCTGAAAAACTGTTTCTATCTCTACTGATTTCATTCTTTAAAAATTGGGAATTCCCCAATTCAATTCACCAAACCCAGACAAAAAAATAGCAAGAACACCACTCAGTTTTAATCATAACACAACATAACCAGAAAACCCTAAAAACATGACCACCAAAACATGGACTTACAGAATTATTCAAGCTAAGACAGTGTAGGGTTCTAATTCAACAGTTCATGCAATGCTAACTGAGATTCAATCACCAAAAGTTTCAAAATTGGGGACGAGTGATCAATAATCATAAGCAATCATATTAACAGTTGAAGTCTATAAAATGAACTCAAAAAACCCAAAATTTGGATTTCGTACCTGAGTCTGATCATCGATTAGAACATAAATCAGTTCAGAAGAGAGCAATATTGTGAGATTAAAATATGAAAGCACGACTAAAGCTAGAGAGAGAGAGAGGGCTTTCGTGGACAGGTTTTTTCCGTGGATTTTGTGATTTTTATACCATTAACTCCTGATTCGTCCACGTCTTAGGTGGGACTCACATAAGAATGATTCTATGGTTTACACTCAAAGTCGTTTTTACTCCTCTACCCTTGACCGAGGACACTCCTCTACCCTAGCAAATTACCGCACCATCTGTTATCATGACTCGAATACAGTTTGACTTTAAATGAGTTTGGATCATAAACAAATTAACTCGTTTACTTAGCCGTGTCGAGTTAGGGTTAGAGGAGTCAGCCCGTATAACCTGTTTATACCCGTTTAACTCAACATGTCATAATCGTTAATATGACCTAGATAATAGGTTACCTGTTTAAACTCAATTATTATGGACAGTTAAGTCATTTCAACATAAATCTTGACTACGCCTTATTTTTATTCTTTTTAGTTTGATTATTTTAGTTAATTGTGACAAATTTTTTTTAGGGTAAAGTGCATATAACCCCCCCCCCCCCCCCCCCCCCCCAAACTTTCATCAAAAAACACAAAACCCCCTTAAACTAAAAAATGCCCCCTGATCTATTAAAAATGTACAATTTAAGGACAAAATGAATAGTCTCCAGCATAAGAGGTCACCGGAGATGTTTGATTACAAAATTACCCTTTTATAAAAGGACGTCGTTTTAGTGTTTGATTGGCTTCTATTGCTGATGTGTCAAACAAATTGTGAACAACCAATAATATTTGGACAACTCATTATCACTTTACCAAAACTTCAACGCCAAACAGAGTCTGGGCCGAACCCAACCAGTGAAAGTTAAGCTTTAAAACCCTAACTCATCCATTGCAACACCAACATAGTTACTGTACGAACCTCCCCCCTCCTCCCTCTCTTCTCTCTCTTCTGTCTAACCTTCTATTCCCCTCTCTTTCCTTTTCATGGCCGGCAATGGAGGCACTGCTCCGGCAGTGGTCATCGGTGTCGCGAAAAAGCGACCACAAGGTCGCGGCTACGTAGGTGCATCACAGCTTGGAAAGGTCGACTTCATGGCGACCCATGTCCAAAACTACTACCTTGTGTCGCCGTGGTACAGGTTTCCAAGTCACCGGACTACGAAATTAGCTGTCGTGAAGAACAGCGACCTTGGGTCGCAATTTGAAGAGGGTTGTATCGCTGGTCAGCAACCCAATAATTTTAGAGAGGGACGCCGACCATGGGTTATCATCCATGGTGGTTTCCGGGTTGCGCTCCGGCGACCTGGTTATACGAGAAGATGGCAGCGCTCCGACGTCCTATTCTCTATCTATCTATCTATATAAACACACACACACACACACACACACACATATATATCACGATATTTACTGGAAAACTAATCTGATTGTTGTCCTAGGGTAGCATGGTACCGTTCCTCACTCGATTCCAGAATGTTTAAAGGAAAGAATGACTCATCTTTGATATAATCAGAGTTGGAGCGATCGGAATGGAGTCGTTGGAGACGGAGAGGATGATCGGAATTGCCTGGCGGCCAGCTCACCACCACCATCAACGTGGAGAATTTTCCTCCTACCGAGACCTTTAAATCAACAACTTTGGTGTAGCACCGCTCTTCTTTCGCCGGAGACTTTAATGGTTTGGCGGCTGCTATTGCACCAATTTTTGGCCGGAGCTTCACTTTGGCCGCTGCGATTGCTTAGATCTTCTCGCACGGTCATGGAGTTTGAGATTGTGCTATCACCGGTTTCACTGCTAGTTGATGCTTAAAACCTCTCGCTGGTGCCGGCGGTTATGGGGTTTCAGGTTGGTCGTATTGCTGCTGGTCATGGAATTTTAGGTTGGGCTTTTACCGATTTTAATGAAAAGAACCTTGTCAATCAATTTTAATGGAATTTCCGGTTGGGCTATCTTTTTTGGTTGTCAATAGTAGATTAAAATCTAATAAGTGTGGCAACTATGACCAACTATCTTGCTTGGTTTTAGAGGAAAGAAAAAAGAAAAAGAAAAAAAGTAAAGCTAAACCTCTGTTTTTTGGGGGGACTGATGGTATCATTTTACATGACTGTGACGAACAAGTTCTATCAAATCAAAGGCGACATTCTGGGTTTTGGATGCAGTTCGTTCTCGATCTCGGAAGATGGAGCGAGAAATACACGAAGTATTGTAACTTATATATATATATATATATATATATATATATATATATATATATATATATACTACGTTTTATATATATGTACTACAACATATGTATATATATGAATATAAGGGTAGGGTTGGCATTTTCAATTTACAGCATATGCACGTGACTATTTTACGGCCAAAGTTTACTAGAACAGTGTCACCTGACTTTTTTTTGCAAAAAGTGTGATAGTTTAGGGGGTTTCTGTTAAAAAAAATAGTTCAGGGAGGTTTCTTGAGAGAGAGAGTAAAATTCGGGGTTTTTTTTTGCACATTACCCTTTTTTTATTTTATTATTTGATTGAATATTAAATCTCTCATTTTGATAAACATGTCATTAAATGGGTAATAAACAGGTCGGGATAGTATCTAGGGTTCCTAACACGATTATTAAATTAGTCGAGTTTGAGTTTATTATTGAGTAAAATACATTTATATTGACACGATACGATTATAACTCACGAACACGAATTGTCACCCCTACCAAAATATCATCTCTGAGAGAGAGAGAGAGAGAGAGAGGGGGGCACATATTTCATTACATTGCGGAAAGACTATTAAATAATTAAGGGATTTTAATAGTATAATTAATTTAGTTAAATTCTACAGAAATGCATTTATTTGCACAAATGTAAAATTGATTTAGAATGTGAACAAGACATTGAATCTTATACATTGACTTTTGAAAACATCGGTAGCATCTATTAAAATGTTACAAGACATTGGATTTTCTAAATTGATTTTTGTTTTGAAAACATTTATACCATCATCAATCCAACTAGGGTGAAATTGTCCTAAAATTTTGTTTTGAACCAAATTTTTTGGGATTTGAAATTGGGAAAGGAAAAGGAATGATATTGGATTTTAAATGAAATTTGAATTGTGTGTTTGGAATGAGCTGAAATTTATTTACCATTATATTCTTCTTAATTTTAATTTTAATTTTAATCTTACATTTAACTAAAAAGAAATGGCAATTTGGTAAAGTTACAAACCTATAATTAATCTCATTTGCAAATTCCACCATTTTTCATGGAATTTGAAGAAGGTATAATCTAGGGGTGGCAAAGGGCGAGTTGGGTCGGGTTTGGGTTGGGTTGAAAATAGACTGGTCAACATGGGTCCAGACCCATATTCATCTCATTAAGAACGGGTTAAAAATGGGCAGGTTGAAAATGTATAGGGTCAACCCATTATGACCCGTTGACCTATTAATTATTATTTTTTATTTTTAAATATATATATTTTTATTTAAACTTGATGGGAACATTTCTGGTGTCTCTACCGGTGTTGTAGAACTAGCTGGAACAGGAGCAGGCCCACCGGACGCCGGAGTATGTCTGACGCTCATTCTCTCTTAAAACCCCACCAACCTACTCTCTGCATTTACTTCTGATAATTAGATTTTTGAAAACCAATTCCAATGTTAGATGGATGATAATGATTTTGGAGAGAGATGTAATAAATTTCAAAAAAATCTGATGCTCATTCTCTCTTAAAACCCCACCGACCTGCTCTCTGCAATATTTATTTCTCATAATTAGATTTTTTAAAACCAAATTCAATGTGATTAGATGGATGATAATGATTTTGGAGAGAAATTTTTCACACACACACACACAAATTTACAATTTGTGAAGATTTTTATCTGCAAGATGTAGTAAGGAGTTTCAGACAAAGACATTTATCTCCAAAATGAATTGGATCATCACATAGCTTACGGCCAACTAAAAATATGGTTTTGGAGAAAGGAGCATTGGTACGTACCATGGGCGCTATCCCCCCCTTTTTTTTTAATTTTTAATTTTTTTAATTAATTTTTAAAATTTTTTTTCATAAGGTTTTAATTTTCTTTTTTATTTTTATTTTTATTTTTAAAATTATTTTTAATTTTTAATTTTTTAAAATTATTTTTTAATTATTTATTTTTTTTAGAAGAAATTTCTAGAGAGAGAGAGAAAGGGGATTGATGAGAGACAAATTTAAAGAGAGAAGATTGTGAGTGAGAAAATTTTAGAGAGAGAAATGAGTTAAGTACAATATAGAATAAATGTGCATTGTGTGCTTATTATGTGATGAATGAAATATAGGTTGAATATGGTGTTGAATATGGTTAAATTATTCAACCCATCTTGACCCTCAAATTAAGTAGTTAAAAATTACCCAACCCATCTTGACCCTCAATTAAATATGGTTCACCCATAACCATTAAAAAGAGGGCGGATATGGGCGGGTTGATGGTTTCCGACCAATTTTGCCATCCCTACTGAAATCTAAGTTTATGGTTTCAAAACCCATAAATCCAATTCCATTTTAAATTCTTTTGATTCCAAATATTAGGAATTCCATTTTGAAATCCAAATCCTAGCATTCTAAACGTACACAATATAAAAATTAGATTTCATAGTAGATTTAAGAAAAGACTTTTTGAATTTTTTAAGGGTGTGTTTGGCTTTATGGAATTGGAGCATTGGAATTGAAATTAGTGAAATTTGAAAAAACTAATAACTAAGAAAATAGAACCAAAATTTTCTCAAATTTCACCAATTTCAATTCCATTTAGCTGAACACATGGTTTGGCTCGGTCGCACTACCATAAAGTTTGGAGAGTGTGAATTTTAAGGCGAGGGCCAAGAGTTTTACATTTATAGAAGCTACTACTACCTTTCACTAAAAATATATCTAGGGCGAGTAGGGATCGTCCCAAGGGATTATGATGATCGAGCAATGTCGTGGAATTGTTATTAGGGCTAGTAGGTCGAGTGATCAAACAATTGGTTGGTTGGTTTGATTAAAGAGCAACTAAATTAAACTAAGTAATAGCAAATAATGCAATTAAGAGTAAGTAAGAGAGAGAGATC